AACGGTTGGGAATCGAAAAAGATGTTATAAGCCAAAGCTAAATGGTATCAGACGATGCGTAGTATGCAATTAATTTTATGCACTTTTGTGCATTGATGCATCATTTTTTTTACTGCACGAGTATAATAGCCTATAAATAGCCTGTTCCAGTTGCGTGGGACACCATGTATAGTTATGGAATTAACAGGTTCTTCGGTCTGGGAGTGTTTTCGTAACCTCGGTTACGTTCGCGGTTAGGCTGAATTCATTCAGAGACTTATTAGAATTACCGACGAGAAAATACTTGCGCGATAGAAAGTAGACACTTGACGAAAATCAATTGAAAAGGAAACCGGAGAAACTTGCTCTTCGTGACGCGAGATCGTGGGATACAGGAATATTCAATTAGCTTTGAAACGCAGTCGCTCGGACCCGTTACGAATTCCACCGATTTGCAAAAATCGGTGAACACACGTCGAAAGTTAATTATATCTCCGGATAATTGTTTCACGGTGTTTCCGTTTGCATATTCGAACAATGCCCGAGTCTGGTTGATGCAATAATTTTAAAGGATGCTTGTTGGTACCGAGGTTGCAACATGCTGAAAGAGAATACTGCGCTCGCCTATTAGGCCAGGAATCTCTACAAAATTCAGCATATTTGCTGAAATTCCTGTTCCTTTGTGCTCCCTCTGTAGACCGTGTCCGCCAATGACACTAATTAATTCAGGGTCAGAGAGAGTCGAGCAAACGTTTGCTGGCGTGTCTCAATCGTCCGGTCGACGGAGGATCGATGGTAAACGACTCCAATCGGTATCGTCGGCTAATTCGCAGGGCAGAGATCGAAAAAGCGCGCTCGTAACTCGGTGCAACGTGCAGCAATGACGGCCGACATTAATCGCCGCCACGTGTTACGTATTTGTCTTCGGGTAGCACGGGAACAAGCTGCCTTTGCCCGCGTCCGTTCGCACGCTGGAGCTTCGGTGGGCAATTTAACCCGAAATCTTAACGAGCCTCGTCGACATGTTCAAGCGACACGCAGCGTTACGAGCGCCGAAAAGTTCCGCGAAAAATCGGCATCGTTTTTCACTACAAAATCGCCGAAGAATGTTTCTACCAGGACGCTTTGATTTCTTTCCTCGTCGCTTGTTTTAATTCGGCTCGCGTCCTCAAAAACTTCTACCACCTTTATCAACCGTTCTTCTTTTCACCGGCACGCCGTGTTATTTTCCGTAGAAATGCGAAAAAAATTTGTTTAGAAAACTTCCTCGCGTCTCTAATACTCCTCAAGATAGCACCACAGGGATATAACTTTGCAGGGTAGTTTCACTCCTGAAACTTGACTCACCGGAGCTACGAAAAAATACGCCCCCTCATTATTAACTGCTCCGAAAACCTGCAAAGTTTCGTCAAAATCAGGAGTGGATGGGGGAGACATTTCACAAATGTTCTTTGCGAGTTCGAGGTGTTTGAGAGAGTCGAAATTATGCAGAGGGAACTCGAGGTCCTGCGAATCGTTTTCGGGACTAGTGCTCAAAGAGAAAATAATAATAGAGCAGTTGGAAAGCGTTTTAAAGTATTCGACGATTATAGAAAAGTGTAAGAAGCACTGAACTGGATCTATGTTAATTCCGAATGAAGCAGCTGTATTTCCGTGTTTGCGTTCGATGACTAGCGACGGAATTTTTAACGACGCACGGTGATAAGCGTGTTTTTTTTCTACGTGGCGTTCCGCTACGGCCACCTTTCGCGACGGAAATCCCGCGAGAAATAAGGACAATATCTGCAGCGCAATTCCTCGACGCGTAAAACAAACATTTTCCGTCGCGGAATGCACGGATCCCGGGCAATAAAAACGCGACTCGCGACTGTTCGTTTTCGCGCGACATAAAATCCGGGACCTTCAAAGTACAAACCAGGGGACCAACACTAACGATTTCTATTCCCCGATACTCGATTCCAGGACAATTATAACCGTGAAGATTGAATTGCGGGGATGGACAAAATTTGATTCGAGTAATAGATAATGAATGAAAACGACCTACGGTAATTAATACCTGACGTTTATTCGATTGAACGTTTAAATTTGTATTACTTCGCCGTTGAATATTCCATTCTATAATTCAATATTTAGTTAGAGCATAGTTAACTCGCAGTTGACAGCCAAATCGCTAATCCAACACCTAAGTGAACGATAAATTTTGCACGACGTTGTTTTAACACAATGCTTGGGACACGAACAAAGGGAAAACAAACGCAAAGTACACGTACAGATTGTGTGTCGAGCACGTGTATTACATAAACTTACATAATCGGTTCTATAACATTGAACTATTCTTATCGATGGAGACGATATCGCGAAGCATATAAAAAATCAATATACTTACAAATAACTTGTACAAAGGTAGGCTTTCGTGCGATTGTGCGACGCGAAAATGGACCTTAAAATTCTAGCTTTTCTCGCGACGCGTATATTCCTCCGATCGGAATACAATTCTCTGTCGACCTCGGCGATATCAAGAGATATGCATGCACGCGGTAAAAACCAATTAGTCGTTAAAATACGGCAATGGCCAGGAGCGAGACCAACTCGGAGCGTAAAAAGGCGCAAAAGAAATTACGACCAAATAAAGAATCTCTTTTCGTACGCAAACCGCGAATGAAGACACAATCGTAAAACGAATTGGTGGCAATAAAACGCTATGCTTTAAATTTTCCTACGTAACTGTGTAACCATGCGATACTTAACGTTGCTGTTTGTAATGTAACGAAATTGCTGCAGAATGATATGGTGTACAATTGAACTGGTAACGAACAGGATGAAAACGGAGTTCCATAAACGCGGTAATACCGCAATTACGTTCTTGAATATGAATTTTAGTATTCATAATGCGGATTTCAATGTGCTACAGATATTTAATTTTACTGCGATCGTTAACCACCTAACAATTCTTAACAATACGTTAGATGGTGCTAGTATAGTACCCAACACGATACTAATTTAGAAACGGAGTAACAATAATATTGCGCTGTTAGTGTCGCTCCAAAATAGCATAACACTGCCGTGGAACTTGTAGAACTGATACTATTAATATAAACAACGACACAATACAGTAATTCTATGATATCAATATAGTATTATAATTTAAATTCCACAACGATAATATAACAGTAAGGTATCAGTACGATCGTAGCACATCATTGGGACAGTACTAGTATAGTATTGCTGTAGTGTCGTCATAGAGCAATTTACTACCGATATGGTAATAATATATCGACACAGTGCTAGAATACCAATGTTACAGTGTATGTCCAGCACTAACATATCGCTGGCATATCGAAACGAAAGGAATTACGAGCGAATGGGTATCTGTTTTCCTACACGATACGTGCGCGAAGTTTCAGCCGTAAAGCAAACTGCGACCAGTGAAAACACTGTACGCTGAATTACGACAGACAAACCGGTCGTAATTGTTCAACGTCCGTCGCAATTTCGGAAATCATTTCGAACGTGTCAACTCGTGATAGGACGAGTACGTGTCCGTAAAAGTGCCGTAACGTTCGTGGAAACATTAGCGTTTAAAGTTGACTAGAAACGTACGGCAAAGAACCGTCAACGATTCGTGACGTTCTCGGTCTTGATCAACTCGTATCGTATCGCACGCGATCGACAACAAACATAAAGATAATTCACAGTGTGCTCGCGGTGCATCGAGGATCCGGTTTGACAGTTCGGGTTGACAGATTTGGACCGATGCTCCAAAATCGGCGGGAATGATCGTGAAACGCACGGCCGGCTCGCGCGACGTATATATGAAAATTCATGGTTGCTCACCAGGTGAAGCACGGTGTTGACAACTTCCCGATTCGACACCTGTCCCACTTCGATCAGCCCGATCAGCACGGCGAATTTCAGGCCGTCGTTCATCGCCATCGCCACCACCTCCTCGGGCCGTTTAATGTCACTGAACGGTGGACTTTTCATGTCCGCCATCGCGACGGTAATCTAAACTGGCAACACGTTTTCTCCGCGAGGAGAATCTACGATAGTTTACACAAAGATCGTCTTATGTACGAGAGCTTTTCCCCGTCACATGATAATACAACACAAATTGATCTGCCATGTTAGAAAGTAGACACTGTTATGAGGAGCCTGCCAGCGAGGCAGCGCGAAAGACCCTAGCATCACTCACGCAGTACCGCCACTAACTGAGCCGCTAAGTTCCCACCAGCGACAGCCACGCCGCGACTGGTGGGGGTAGCGGGGTTTACGAACTACCGCTCGGGGCTATTCGATTAACTCAATCCTGGAATATTTTATAAATATTCCAATACTGCTAATAAACTTTGGATATTTCAATATTCGATCATTACTATTCTGAGTAGACGAAAAGTTAAAGTTTTATTCTTGTTTGCTCTTCGATATCCAATGGTAAACGACGAAAACAAAGAGAGTTTCTTGACCCTTAGAGCAATGTGTTGATTTTAAAATTAATTCTATCACTCAAAAATATGTATTCAGTCATCCTCGAGGAATTAAATATTCCAAGAAATTATTATTTATGATAATTACACAGACTCGATCAGTTATTTACCTTACACCGTCTCCTACAATACAAACACAAAAGGATGAAATGAAAATTTTAATAAAATACGAATGTGAATTATTTTCCCGACGAAATTGCACAGGGTATTTGTAAATATTTTATGTTTCGTTAGTCGTGTAGACATAATCGATAATAATGCTATTGATTCATCGCCATCGTTCCATTTAGTGAATGGTCATTTCTAAATTACATTGCTTCATCTATTTGTATGCGAAATGTACGAAGTTTATACTATATGGATAGACACTCGTTTTTACGTGAAACGTAGTAATTGCGAAATTACGTATACCAACTTGATTTGAGTTTATCTTCGACTTACGCACGTATATTATGAAACATCAAATTATGAAGCACGTATCCGCTGTACTACAGAGAACCATAGTATGAGTAAACGCACGCGTCACTAGTAGTAAAAATGGCGGCGGCGGATGTCGAGCGTACCAAGGTACGTGTCGTTTTACTTAAATTTTACGCCCATGTTACGTTACTTCTGGCTGTATTTCTTACTGGGAATGACTGTTCGAATGTCCTTCCTCGTATACAAATATAAACCTAAGCGACCGTTGATGTATGTGTAGTGTTTACAGCCTGAAGGGCGTTGGTTGTTTCTTGTGTCACAACAGTACTGTCGATGAAGCGTTGTCGCTCCATTTATAGACAGTACTGTTAATATTCGGTCAGGTCACTGCTCGTAACATTTATGGCTAATTGGTACTTACAGTTGGAATCCTCGTTCCGTAATTTAAAATTATCTGGTCATGTTGGATTTGACAGTCTTCCAGACCAATTGGTGAATAAATCTGTCCAAAATGGATTTGTGTTCAATATCCTCTGTATCGGTATGGGAAATACTTTGTCATTCTAATCGTGCATACCTTACAAACTTATGCATGTAGTTACTATAATTAAATGTTGTTACAACAGGGGAGACTGGACTTGGAAAGTCTACTCTCATGGATTCCCTTTTCAATACAAGCTTCGAATCTACTCCAAGTACACATAATCTTCCTTCTGTAAAACTTAAAGCACATACGTATGAATTACAAGAGAGCAACGTTAGGCTAAAGCTTACTATAGTAGACACGGTTGGATATGGGGATCAAATTAATAAGGAAGACAGTTTCAAAGCAGTTGTTGATTACATAGATGCTCAGTTTGAAGCATATTTGCAAGAAGAGTTGAAAATAAAGCGCTCTCTGGCAACTTATCATGACAGTCGTATTCATGTTTGCCTGTATTTCATTTGCCCTACTGGTCATGGATTAAAATCCATTGACCTTGTCTGTATGAAAAAATTAGACACAAAAGTCAACATCATTCCAATTATTGCTAAAGCTGACACGATATCAAAAACAGAATTACAAAAGTTCAAGGTATGTTGAAAATACTATACTATAATTTTAATTTTGTGACTACCATTTAATGTTCCTTCCATTTCAGAGCAAAATTATATCCGAATTACAAAATAACGGAGTTCATATTTATCAATTTCCTACCGGCGACGAGAGCGTGGCCGAAGTAAATTGTAGTATGAATGCTCATGTACCTTTTGCAGTAGTTGGTAGCACTGATTTTGTTCGAGTTGGAAACAAAATTATGCGCTCCCGACAGTATCCATGGGGTACAGTGCAAGTTGAAAATGAATCCCATTGCGATTTCGTTAAATTGCGCGAAATGTTGATACGAACAAATATGGAAGATATGAGGGAAAAAACGCACTGCCGTCATTACGAGCTCTATCGTAAAAAGCGGTTGGAACAGGTAATTGTTTCTGCAAGGTACTAATTCTAAAGGGTTTCAAAATGCTACTATCAATCTTCAATTTCTTGCTCTTAGATGGGATTTAGCGATGTTGATAGTGAAAATAAACCAGTTAGTTTTCAACAGACCTGCGAAGCAAAGAGATCCATCCATTTGCAAGAGCTACAACAGAAGGAGGATGAGATGCGGCAGATGTTCGTGGTACGCGTGAAAGAGAAGGAAGCCGAATTGAAAGAAGCAGAAAAAGAGGTATGAACATATTTCGTTATGAACGTCGGATATTTCAGGTTTCTCTTTTTTTTAATAAGTTTGTTCGCGTACGTATCTTTCAGTTGCATAACAAATTCGATAAACTGAAAAAAGATCACACGGAAGAGAAGAAAAAGGTGGAAGAGAGCAGAAAGAAGCTTGAAGACGATATTTTAGAATTGAACAGACGCAAAATGCAATTCACTCAACAGCTGCAACATCATACCCTAACATTAGGAAAGAGCAAGAAAAGATAAAACGTTCGCCATTGGCCATACATCTTGTAACAAATAAATTACGACGCCACACATACATTCTAACTACACGTAACGAGTATTATTATTTTAATTACTTGATACTTGACTGCTGAAGTTAATAATTAAATTATCCAAAGTTTACGAGCGCTGTAACTTTTATCGTCTTCTTATATCATTTATATAATAATTATAGGTTTTACTTACGTCAGACTGATTATCATAACAGTGATGTTTACCAAACTTAATTTACTTTTTGTATTAACATATGCACCTTAAGAAAAATAAAAATATATTTGTTACTTATAAATCCGTCTGCTTAAATTTCCGCCGAGAATTTCCGTTTTCACGAATATAAACACGATTATGGCTACCGCGTAATGCATCGAGAAGATTCATAATTAAATATTTTATTGTTCAACAAAATATAACAATTAACACAATAGTATCGTACTTAAGTAAACCTAACGTTATTAGCCATACGTGTTACATGAAGTATACGAAACGATTATAACCTAGGTTTTACGAAAGCATGTTTTGATTACAAACATTAAGCGAGAACTGAAAATAGGATATGCAGTATGATCGTATCACAAATCTAAAAAAAATAAATTCAACACGGCTATCGTATGATGAAATATCGATAAACTTTCGTAGGTTTAATATTTTAGTTTTTTAACAAAAGTTGCAGCATTACATAAACTATTGTTTCAAGGACAGTGATACACGATAGCAACTTCTAAATGCTTTACGAAATTCGTAAAAATTAACTTTCGTTTTGTGAGGCAAATATTTTCAATACTCTGCGTGGAAGAAAGCAGGTACAAAATAACTTAATCAAACTATATCGACAGACTTATCGAGTAATACGTTTACAATAATATAATATGGCGGAATTGTTTCATTCGCGCGTAGCAAAGATGATATTACAAATAGTAGTAGCGAAGTGAATTTATCGTGTTCGCCGTTACGTCGCAATTCATCATTTACAAATAAATACAGTCTCTATGCCAAATTACGAACGAAATGTGTAACGAAAGAATAGATTGCGTACTACGCGTCAAACAATACGAAATAGAAGGCTATGATACAGTCAATTTAGGGGGGAAAAAGTCTAACAAAAAAAAAATAATCCTCGAACGACAATAGCCTCAACGTGCCGACATTACACGTCGCGCATTTCTTTGCTTTGGTATTCCTTTGCACATTCCTGTGCCCTTGCATTTCTGTGAACCCAACAAACACATCGCGTTGTAATTTCGACAATATCGTCCTTCGTATTTCTTATCCTACGTATTTATTATAAAAGTACAAAACATATATTATGGCAGTTATCATGAAGCATTTTGCAAGATAGCCGATTTAATTATGTTATCGATTATGTGCCAAAGTGTAATAATTGCTTCAGGGTCGGTCGATATGACGACGATATATGGAATGAAAAAATTGTTTCAAAAATATCCTTTGAATTTCGAGGCGTACTTCTACCAAATCTTCTAAATCAGAAACTATCATTCGTGTCAATTGCTTGATATATCGTATAACGATATTTGACCAATTATTGATTAATTATATATACGATGAAATTCCGAATACTGTAACCGACCCTGTTGTTACTTACAAACCTATGTGTCTTATACTGCTTATCGCGAGAGATATTTAAGTGCACTACGAGATTCGCCTTTGCAGGTAATAGCAATGACCAAGTACAAATAATATCGAATATTCGAGTTTCGCGCAAAATAGATTGTATCTAACAACCTGGAATCCGGACAGAATTACCTTATCCCTTAAATTGCATTTCTACCAGACGGAATCGTTCGTTCGAAATGTACAATTTCCTGTAGCATTAAGAGGACAAGCTCTAAACTTAGGCAGACATTACCTGAGCCCTTAATTGCACTTCCTTCTAATCACATGCGTGGATCGACTTTGGAGCTGAAATAGTTTGCCATCGGAACGAAATCAATCAGCCGCTAATAACCACCGACTGGAGCCATAAACATCATACCGCTATGGTGTCCCATACCACACTAACCACGATCTTTCCGCGCCAAACTGCAGTGGCTCGCCCTCTGTGTTTCAAACTGAGAAGCAAGCTGCAATGACGCGAAGCAGAGATCGTTCAAATTTTATTCGAACAATAGATAACAAATAAAACCAATTTATAGCAATACATTCGATCAAACAATGAAACTTTGATTTGCTCGTCGCGAAATATTAATTCTACTGTTCAAATTCTAATTTTTATTTGTTATTCGAGTAAGAATTTTCCCAATCTCCGGCATGAAGCGGTGCTATTTGCGCGTGGAGCCTCTCGCGAATCTTTGTCGCTCTTTACCGCCTATAGCGTTCGGAATGATTAAGAAATAAACGATCATTTTCACAAATGTATGTGCTCGAAGTGTAAAACTATTTTTTAATCAATCTTACATTTGTGTAAAGATCGCAGATTCTAATACAGAGTGGGGGGGTAGCGGTGGAGTACAGATCGAAATCGTGGCCCTTGATGGCCAGTTGATTTTGTTCCGACTATAGTACGAATGTTACAATGGGAGCAGAGAATATACCACGGATGGTTATCTTCAATGTAAACGGCATTCCGATAACCTGTAACTGGCATCGTTTCAACATACCACTTACGAACTTTGGTCATTGCGGTTGTAAAGCTACCTCTACCAGGTGCATTGCCCTCCTACCTATTTCTGTTAGACAATTTCCAAATCAAGCGTTAATATGCCTGTCATCTGTGGAATGCATGACACCTAACCCTTTCGATGCTATATAGGATTTGAACGCTTGGCGTGCAACGTGTGCGGATGACCCGTAGTCTTATGCGTAAGCCGAATTCCTAGAACGCCGATGGGCGTTCAAAGCACGGAATACTTTGATCGAGAATTTTTAAGCGCCCGTAGCATCCAAAGGATTAAACGTTTGGGCGACGAAGCGAGTGAATATTGTACGGAACATAGTCTTGTACTTTTGTTATTAATATCGATTAAGGAATTAAATGAAGTACAAATAAATATGCATATATATTGCATTTATACACGGGACAAGTAACTTGGAATTGCTTCGAGAATTGTATAATAATCTTTGTTTATAGTTTAAAAAAATTTTCTGATCATCCACAGGTTTCGTAAATGAAAATCAATTGTTTTAAACGGTGAAGCGAACTCTGTGTTAAGTGATACGAACATATTGTTACTTAAGTGTCAATAGTAAAACGACAGATGATCATCTCCGTCCGATCGTTAAGAAAATGTGACTTACAAAGAGTCTTCGTAAAGTAAACTTCGGGAGTCACCGAAGCAGTTCCAGCCACCTGCCCCACCCTGTATATTGCACGCGTTCTGCATAAACGCGACGCGTATCCCGACGATAGAATACAAAGGTAAACGATTAAATGTAATGTTTATACATTTTTGTCAATAGTAATTGATAAGAATACTCGAATACCGGCGACACTCGATCGAGTCTTCGCGCAAGAAGATGGCATATTAACACGCTTGGCAAGGACGTATGTACGTGAAACGTTAGTGCTCCCCAACCGTATTACATCACAGGTAATAAAAAATAGTGCCATCCCCCTGTATATCTTACCGATCTAAGAAATAGGTGCACTTGGTACCAACGTGTACATGATTACGAGAATAGAGAAGATGTAATCGTGAGATAGCATAGGCGTAATACAAACCACGCATCCTTGGGACGTTCGCTGATAGTCGACTACAAAAACGAACAGCGGTATCGTTGTTCGAACGAGACCTGTAAAGAACCACCCCAAAAAAAATCCCTCGATATCATCAACGCACCGACGGTGGTTGGAAAGAAGGAAAGGTGTAGGTTTTGGGTTCGATTCCGTTTCACGAAAATTCAGTCGTTCATCGTGTGGGTGTATCGCCGTCTATCCTATCAGCGTAGTTCCCCCCCGACTCGTCGCGGTTCAGTCACCTTTGCGCACAAACAAACAGCGTTTCGCATCCGTAACGCCACCCTGGCGACGCGTCGTGGGTGCCGTGTACTCTACTCGCACGAGACGGACTAACAGCAGCATGAACGTGAAGTAGCGTGGACTTGTGACAGGCACTGTGCTTTTAGGCTAGCGGGCCGAGACGAATTCCGGCGGAGGGCTGCGATACTTGGCGCGAATGGGAAGAAAGTTGGTGTGCTTGTTGCCGTGGGGTGAAGGCGGCGTGCTCTCGCGGTTGAGGGTCCTCACCTGACAGGGGTCATGCCTCGCCAAGAAATGCTCCAAGGTGTCCCAACCACCGCCCACCCTGACCATCATGTGTCTCCCCTTCAAAAGCTGCGAACACGAAAGTACCACGACGGTCATTAGCAGTTGCCGCGCCTTCAGCCACGCGCGACCTTTTACAAAATCTAACGAGCTTTCTGCGTTTCGAGCAATTGCGGAAGGATTTTCAGCGACGAGTCTTTTTAAATTGTTTAGCCGCTGAAAGACGAAAAGAAGGAGGAGGGACTGGACCTGGTTAGCGGAGTCGACGGTAATTTGTCATAGAACGAGTTGATGCGACTAGGTGCAACGACAGTTATACCAACTCGTACACTGGCCTCATAGAAACTTTGCATAGTATACGAATGTGTAGGCGCGCTTCGACTTCCAATTGATAGAATGCGGTTGGTTACGCAACCTGACTGACGATGACTCCGGCGCGTTTGCGATAGTATAGACAAGTCTGTTTTGAAGTCTCTATGCATACACACATTCGACAAATCGTACCAAAGGGTACTCGAAGAAGAAATAGTGCATTGTGTTCTATGTCACCACCATTATCGAGGACGACAGTGGCAACTGATAAACGATATAATTCGATCGCCTTAAAATATACTAGAACATCTTCCACGATAAATTTTAGACTCCTTCTTTTATCATTCTCTTTATAATTTTAGTCACCAAACACGATTTCACTTTATCTTTCGTCTATGTAGTCCAAGTTATCTAGAGCGTCGTTGTTAATCGTTTAAGCCTCGTTCTAACGGATTTTGATATAGATAGAGCTCGATTAGGATGACGTCGTAAATATAAATAAGACGATTAACTTCTAAGAATAACTTGATGAACGAAATTCTTCGAAATGCTGTTCACGGTGCTCGAGACTTACAGTTAGTCAAGTGTACTCGCGCCCTACGGAATTTCAAACTTGTTTCTTTCGATAACGGAACACGATACGAAAACATGTTATGCTAGATCTTCGATTTATATCTGCACGAAAGAATGACCCAATTTCTGGCTGTGCTACGATTAATGGAGTCCTCTGATGGGGGAGGAAGGGAGACGTCCAAATAACTTTATTAATCTCTTTCTTTCCACTTGGACCAAACGGGAAAAGTAATAAAATCGAAAAACAGGTTACGTACTCTGATGAAGACGTTTCGTCCCGCGATGTGGTAACGGCCTTCCCCAACCTTGCGCACCTTCAGCTTGGAGCACTTCTCCGAGGGACATTGGCAGAGTCTCTGAACAGCCTCGGTTGCTCTTCTCACCTAAAAACAGCAAAGGGACGCGGCGCGGTGTAAACATTACATAACGAAAGATAAGGCTGTCCAAAGCTATGGGGGAGGTATTGCCAACCTCACCCTCCACGCGGTGGACGCTGGTCAACGGCGTTACCGACTAACGAGGCTCTGGCTAAGCAAATACAGTTGAGTACAGTCTTGGGATGGGAATCTGTGGTTCCAGGATGAGATAAGACTCTAGAATAAAAGTCCTTACAGTGTAGTAATGACTTGGAGTCAAGAAGGACCGATAACTACCCTACTCAATGATACGGCAAATCATTGAGAGGGTTAGTAGTTCCAGGACTCGTAACTTAGCAGTGGTGAAAACGCACCCAACACCGTTAGGATAGACACCTAGCTTCAGTACGGCAGAGCAGGGCAGCTCACGATAAAGAAAGACAATAACTGTCTCCGGAGATAAATCGCGGCGTGGTTTTCTCGCGGGGAAAGTCAAAGATGCGCGTAGCCTCGTAACATCCGTTGTTTCGTATGCAGGAATTCGACATGCATGGGTCCGCGAGCGTGCAAACGCATACTTGAAAAAGCTTAAACCGAGCCGTTTGGATCCATTGTCCCTTTCTTTATCCCTTCCTTGCTCTCCGCCATTCATAGCGAACGTGACGCGATGCGATTCGCGCGTGCAGCCTCGCGTACGAGTACCGAGCTATACAGATTGCCCCTGACAAGGAACATCATCTACTCGACGATCTCGGATTTTTATCAAACTTGCCAACTTATTATTTAGTTACGAACGAGTGTAGAATTAACTTTGTTCCGATCCCAACTTGCTACTCGCGGCTCGGGTCAGCGTCCTCGAGGAAGGTTTACTCGAAATCAATTTTATTTTCAACTTTGATCGTTATTATACCTTGCGATCGAGTTCCGTTATGGGGCCCGTGTGTTCCGGCGGCTCGGCTGGCGAGGGCAAAGGTGAACACGACGGCGATGGAACCTCGTCGGGATCCTCCGCGCTTCCACGGGACCAGTCGTCCTCCGTGGTATCACTGGGCACTCCGTCGCTACCCGTTGGACCATTATCGCTCACCGACCTTCGCATTTCGGGCTCGTGGGTTGTACCGGTCGTTGGGTCCAGCCATCGAGTCGCCGACGACGCGACTTCCGACGCCGAGCTGAAAGATATTCGTATTCGTGTATCTTAAAGTCGGAGAGTCACGTTACGTTTCCTTTTATGAACGATAGTTGATCACTTGTGTGTCAGTTTCTCTGTTGCACCGAGCACAAAAAGCAGCTAATGTTGATTTATTACACCACATTGGATATAACTATCGATCAAGTCGCAATACAAACTCAATTAGTATTGGCATCGATATAAGTTATGGCCAGAGAGAAAGCATGCCACCGATCGAAAGCAACGCCAAATACGTAGCCGCGAAAAAGATCGTGAAACGAAACTACGTTACCATAAATGTAAAATAGCTATCAGCGATGAGTACGCCATAAGAGCATGTAAATTGTGCGCGGGTAAAGGTATTATAAAGTACTGACGATAAAGAGATTTAATGCTGGGTTGTTAGGAGAGTCAGTTCCCGTGTTAGTGTTAGGAAACGCGCTGTACATATTTGATCAACGCAGGCCTGGGGTAAAAAGAAATGAAATCGATCGATCGTCTCGCATGGAGGATGCTCCGAAGAAAGGCTCGAACAATGTAGAAGCCTTTGGTGTTCGCCAGAGCAGACGAATATATCCAGTCAACATAGGTCCGCATCAACCCCAACGGATATACAGATAATTTACTTTATTTGCAGACGCCAATTGAATGCAAACTATATATCTTGACCCGTGCAGTCGGATCTGCACTATTTACTTATCGAGTCAATAGTCTTGTGTGCCGAACATAGGCTCGCAAATTAACCCCAACGGATATACAAGTAATTTACTTTATTCGCAGACGTCAATTGAACGCGAACAACACATCTTGACACGTACAGCTTGATCCGCAATATTTATTCATCGTGTCAAGAATCTCGACTGAACGCTATCAATCTTAATTCGTATGTCTTGGCAACTGTACGATCGTACCATTTAGTCATCCACTATAATAGTTTCTTGTTATTCCATCGTTTTATTTTAGCCGACAAGCAAATATGTCCATATGTGGGACATTTATTTCATGCACCTTTATTTTGTATGCGTTTTGAGTTTCATGTACCGCAATTCCTATAACGTGGAACGAATCCCTCGCGTTATACGGAGGTGCACCATACATTCATCTTTCCCTGGCGTGTTTCCAACAATGTTGATATGCGTACCTATGGTAACACTGCTCGTACATTTTTATGAGTGCTCTGTGCGCTTAAATTCCTGCCAATCCTGGCTCAAGAAAACACAATGGTGCTTCAGAAAAATGTTGCACGTTTACTAGAGTCGCTCTACGCATAAGTTTATGCTTTTTTTCGATCGAACTGTGTAATATCATTCGGTAGAAACGCTTAAGAAGAATTTTCATTTCACTGGCGTGGTTAACTGACGCACGCGCCAGTAACACGATACATCAATTAACGTCTTCGTTAAAAACTATCTCCCCGCTGTTTTTACGGCAACGGTAGTTAAGAGAGGCGCGCGCCCGTTCTGTTATTTATCATAATTACACCGGTGTATCGTCTACTGCTTTGGCGTAAATACCGTAAGCTTAACACGCTACGAAACACCGCCACTCCTACGGCATTGCGTTACGGTTGAGGTAAGCGTACGGCTGTCTTTCCGAGAATGTAACGCCTCGCAGATTCGCCCATTAAGCGAATCCTTTTTCAGCAAACGGAGAACCTCCTCGTCCTTCTGAAACCGCGTTCCCACGTCGAATCACGTTTCACCGCGATTCGCGAACCCGCGTACGCACGCTGCCGGTGGTCAAACCTGCAATAAGCTAAGTGCACCACTAGTTGGCCATGTGCCAATAGCTGACATTTCTAGGAAATCAACTGAGCCGAATATGGCACAATACTTTCCGACGCCTCGTTCTGATCTTACTTTAAGATAACGAAGACAGAGAAAGCGCTGTCCAACTTTTGCAATTATTTAGAAGAAAAAAATTTATCCAGTAGGTCAGCTATCGATACCTTTATTTTACTATTGAAAGTTGTTCGAGCGAGCGGTCACCGATGCCAACCGCTCGAACAGTCATTTTATGGATGGTCACTCGAGCTGAAAAGAAGATCATCGAAAGGGTAACCCGTTGGCCCACGTACCTGCTGTGTTTGATTTTCTCGGACGGAGGCCTGGGCGTCGCGGTCGGGGACGGCGATTGGAACTGCCAAGAAACGAGGCTGCTATGAGATATACCACTATCGGACAAACAATGAAGATCCCTTTCTTGCTCCGCGGCGATCTCCCTCTCGAGCTGCACGAGCCCCGGAGGCTCCACGGAATATATCGAAGCCAATCGAGCCACTTCCAACAAACAGAGCACCACGTTCCGTGGCTGTCCGTGTAAAACTAAAAATTACAGACGTCGTTCCGTTAAATAATCGTACATTGAATTCGACGCGTGGATAAAACCCTGACTTTCGATGTCCTCCCTTCGGGAAGTCGTTCCCCAAGCTCTGGGCGACATAAAGAATCCCCAGGAACCGGGCACGTGACTCGACGAGCAATTTTCACGCGACCCCGAGGCTCCTCTTCTTCCCCGATTGCATCAACGGGGGCGCGTATTACTTTTCAGGGCATTCGAAGTCGTTCGGGCACGAGCAAAGAGCTCTCGTGCTCCTTCCATCGCTCCCGGAGACGCGTTTAATTCGCGGCGATTACTCTCGCCTCGGGAGCGTTTTGAATTTGCATATTTGCGATCCCGCGACGTAATTGGCGGGGACTTCCCTTTCAATCGTCACGGAACACTTGAGATAGACGTCGATCGCGACCGGGTAAGACGCGCGGAAGCGAATCGATTCGAATAACTGCTGATATTTACCGAGATCGTCGCTCTCGAACAGGAGGTTCTCATGGACGCCCAGACGACGGCAAAACTGAATGAAATTCTCCATGTTGTCGCGGGAGAAGAAGCTGCGTCTCGCGGCGTTCTCCCAGCATCGTCCCCTTATCAACGGCAGCGGCTGGAAAGTAGAAAATGTCGATCTGTTCTCTCGAAGACAAATAGGAACGAGTGGGAGTAATCGTTGGCAGTGTGGCTAAATTGCGTAAGCGGGGCTCTAATTGAATCGGCAACTCCGATACTTCTAACAGCCCCTTTCTCTGCAATTATCGATGTTCTACTGTACCGAGAAAGACCTGTAACGGCGTAACAATTATTTACCCCTTTCGCTCTTCCAGCGTCGATCGCCATCCTCGCCTTTTCCTGGATGACCCTTGCCAGACGACACACCACCACGCCATTGTCCAAGGAATCAAAGAAACTGTCCCCCGTCACGTAATCGCCGTCTGAAACGCAGGAAAGGTCGTTTTTTTTCTATCACGAAGTATATAAATTTGTTTTTATAGTAGTTCCACGACGGTACTAGCGTGTTTTAGACGGGGAAATAATCTGTAAGACGAACGGCGTAACGTATCGCGTAAACGGTCGCTTCAAAACAGTCGAGAGCATCGACGAAGTGGCGTCATTGTTGGGAACAATGGACCAACCCTCCTTACGTTCTCCGGTCGAATTCTTTCGAAGCAATGGTAGGGTGACTTCTGCATTGTTGCAGAATTTCCACGAACAACTTCACGCAAAGCGTGCACGCGTCTCGGGCGGCCAGAGGAATATAATTGCGCTCTTTCGTGAACTTTTTGCGGAAGAAGCATAGTCGCGGAATTTTGAGATACCATGTTACAGACATCGAGGGTTGCTCGTGGACCAGATAAAAAATTCCGTCCGCCTCTGTTCGTTCACAGAACCACCGGGTGCAAGAAATCAATCTTTCCCGTAGCAGGTCGTTACCAGTTAAACGGAATTCACACGGAAATCGGCGTCTAATTACCGCTTTCCGATCGAAAGCGTGCCCTTAAGCGGCATGGCGGGCATCGAGCCGCATTATTACCCGACGTAATGTCAAACATAAATTAGACCCGCGCCCGAGTATCGCGCGCGAAGTTCCGGGTGACCGAGTTGTTGTTCGTCGCGCGGCTCGCACTTATATACGCTCACGCCCGTGATCTTTCGCAAGATCGAAAGAGGGTAGAGGCATATCCTACGAGAACGGCCGTTATCACGAACGGCAGCCTGCTCGATTCGCCATTGTGTCCCAGGCCATATGCGAACAATATTCGCGATCCAGATCCAACGCCGGCATCTGGCGGTGCACGTACCGCCGCGTTGCGCGTGTGTGTCTGCCGTAGGAACGTGTGATGGACTTTACTCCATAAGCCTTGCCCGTTAAAACGCCTTTTTTTTTCGCTTCCTCCGGTGGTTCTGCCCCGGGTGCAACCCTATTGTTACCGGGTCGAGTCACGAGCCTGCGCGCCGGTTCTCATTACCATCCGTATCTGCGAGGCTTTATCGCTCCGTCAGCCCAACCTAGTTCCTATTTCCCATCGTATCCCGCCTATATCTATATACGTGGCACGGATCGTGTCGCGAGTTTTCCTCAGATTCTCTCCGCGGCCGTCGATCGTTCCCCAGCAGCGTGGGAGAACGATGAGAGGTGTCTGAGCGTTTCACGAGCCGCCTCTGGCGCGTGCAGAGCGCCCCGTGCAACACGCAGACGTTTATCGGAGGCTTGGCCCGCGGGCTTCATCGATCAGTGGCGCAGCCAGGGGGGCTAAACGCCACAAAAACGCCTCGATTCTTCTAAATAACTCCTTGTTCGATACGCAATCGAATGTATCAACGTTGTTTCGAAGGTGTCCTCGTTTTGCAGAGTTAAGAACACTTTTTGATGGAGCAACCGTTCGCACGAATAAAGGGGTAATTGTTTCTGGTGAAACTGCAGGTCAGAAGCCAGTGTCGTTGCTTTCGGAAAAAATCACTTGCCTCGTTGGGGAAAGATCCTGGCCTTGATCCTGTTTGCACGTGGAAGCTGGCGAACGAAATTGAAATGATTTCGAGGCAGTCACGCACGAGTTGACCTATCGTGAGAGTGTCCTGGCTAGATTATTTCTCGCTTGACCGAGCAGCGAACGGTACGAGTTTCTAGTCGACTACATTTTTCGACGATCGATCAACGAGGATCCAAATCGAAATTCCTGCATTTCCATTACCGTCTACCAACCCCAGCGAGCATTATTGATGGATTTTTTTAAATTGACATCCAGACGAGCGAAGCTGCGGGCAAGAGCTAGTTTACAGTGTTTACTGACTCATTAGAGTTCAAATTTTAAAAGAAATTTCGGGGAAACATTTCTGGCCACATTATATTTTCGGTAAAGAATTTTTTTCTCGACAGTACGTAGGATTTCGGGGTATGTGTATTCACCAAAAATAATTGTAATAAAACCCCATAACCAAAAATAATTTTTCCAGAATGATTTGAAATTTTTTAATTTAATTTTTTAATAACTTTTTATTTCTTGATTTTCGTCTTATTTTGACCTCTAGAATCTCCCATTAAAATTGTTCCCAGAGATGACCGAACACCCCGTATAGCGGCAAGAATATCACCCTCGTATTGACCTCTTCAATCTCATCGTTCGTTAAAATTAATTCTAGCCTATTGCTACGCAGCCTATTCTCCACTTGTCTCTGTCTCGCACGATTAGGCGATCGGTAGCGGTTATTCGAAGAAAGGCACTTTAGAGAGAAGAGACAATTCTATATTGAAATGGTAAATTAATAAAACATAATATACGTGCATCTATAGAGGGTGTACCGTAACATGTGGGATCCACTTCAGCGGTGGATCGAGGACACAAAAGCAATGAAAAAAAAGTTCATCTAAACGCGAGCCCTGTTTGACCTTGTTCCCACGTCGTAGCCATTTTTGTTCTCTGGTAATGCGCAGCTGCCTACCTTTATAATAGGTACTTGAAACGACCATCATTTGGACCAAACGTAAGCCCTATAGTCGTCGTATCATAGAGTTCGTTGGCGGCTCTGTTATATTTCTGACGAAGTTTTTAAAGGATACGGGAGGTTTCGTAGGTAGCGGTTTCAACAGATAAATCTGAAGCGATTCGAACGGCTCGAATCGTTTCTCACGTTCCCTGACACGGCCGTGTCATTTCGTAGACCTCCGTCGGTTTTGATGAGTCCCGATAACGATTTATCGTGCGCACGTTCGTAGTTAATTTGCCTCTTCGTGAGGCCTACCGCTACACGGACCGATTTTTCGATTTTTGGATCGATCTTCGTCTTCCACGTTTCATCGCGTGTGCCTACTACGACCTGGAAGTCTTAAAAGATAAAAGTAGTAAAAAATTATAGAACATAGTACATTATTTAAATTTGTCTAGATGTATTTTCTATCCGAAACACCCTGTATGAAACGAGTTAAGCAGAACACTTCGTTGCGCATCGGCGTCTACGTGGCCTTGCACGCGCCGTACCCGTCGTTTCATGGAAAAGAAAAACTTCGAGTCAGTTTTATTGGCAGGAGTCGTTCCTCTTCTCGCTCTTAATAAGAGCTGGTCGCGTGTATCGATAACCACCGTACACCGTGACCTGCATTTTCTTCATATCCTTGATATGCTACCCTTCGGCTTTAATGGTCGCTCGACCTCTTTAGTGCGATTCGAGCCTTTTTCAGTACCATCGACGTCGTCCTTGGCATTGTTCGATCGATGCATTAATTCGAACACGATATATCATCGCGACCGCCTGTTACCATAAAACATACCGCAGCATGACAATTTTTATTTCATCGCTTGGACCACACCCGAGGTATCCTCAAAACAAGGTCGCTCGTTGGTTGTTCGTTCGAGTAAATGCGCGAAGAGAATTTACAAATTACCGATACTCTACGCCTATGGGCGTTAATCGTACACGGTCCACCTGTCCGCCGCACGTTTACAGACGCACGGAACGCCGAAGTTTCCATTAAAAAAATGAAACGTGTAATCACGGCTGAAAACTTTCAAGCCCCCCCCTCCCATTCCTCCCCAGAGCGAAACGTTTCAAACGAACCAGTTAAAACGCTCGATAATCAATACGTTAATTTGCTCCCTCTCTATGCTCGTCTCGTCTCGTTGCGTCCGAAGATCGACTCTAGCCCCGTTTTACACGATATTCGAGCGATTCGAGGGACTCCGGGTGGAGGTCTCGTCTCTGGGATTCACGACTCGCTGGGCGTCCATGGCCCCTGCCAAAGAACCGAACCGTTCGCGAGCCTCGTCTCATCGGATCCACGATCGCAACAGACGCGCGAGCGTGTATTAGGAAGGCGTAGCCGCCCATTTATGCGTAATGCGGCTTCAGGTACCCGCGATGAAGGGAGAAGAAGTGGCACGAAGGAAGAGGGGTGCCCGGCCGACTTCCGGTTGAGTCAGACCCGTTCAGACCGCTGCGGGAGACGCAGGGTGTGGGTCGTAAGGTCCCGACTATTCGTGCCTCATTTCAATAATTTCCGACAGACATTTTGGCGATTCGTTGAACCCGAAAATCGACGCTCCGAGTCGAAACCTGCGTGGGGGATTTTCTACGGTTTGCGCGTCTATTTAACCTATCAACCCTTCCGCGTGTTATGGGCGTGCAAATGTGCAAAGTTTAAAGTTCAGTCCCGAACATTGAACCATCGATGCCGTAATTTTGGCGTCGAGACAGAGGCCGGCGATTTACATTCGTTTACGTATTCGCGCGGAACATGGCGTAATTGGATGCGCGCGGACCCGTACCGAAAATGCATAATTCAGGTTCAAATACCAAAACTTCGGTCCGCGGTTATTTTTCCTGCACGTCGTACGCAAACACCCCGATGTGTCTCTCACCCTCGCATTAAAGTCCCCCTCGATTGAATGCAGACGGGAGAGCTGACCGCCACACGCTGCATTTCAAGCGATCTACGGGTCCGGGCGAGTGTGGGTGTGCGCTTGAATCGTACACTCCTGTACGAGAATAGTAACTACACGGCAGAGGTACCCCACACGGTCGTACAGCAAAGGCTGCCGACCTATCTCCGTCGTTCTGGCTTTGAAGCTGCACGAAGAGTGGCAGCGTGTCAGCGTGATATTGCGACGCGATATAATTAGACGCGTCCGAGGACCGTCCATATAATGCACGTTCGATTCGTAGCCAATATTCGGTGACTCACGGATGCGTTCGCATAAACTCGGAATAATAACTACCGTAGAACAGGATCTCTCAACCTTTCCTGTCTCGCAGCCCACTTTCGAGCATTATTTATCTCCGTGGGGGCCCCTCATGGTCGCTGTTAGTCGGTAGAAATCATAATATACCGTTTAATTCTAGTACAGTGAAAACGCGCAAGTAAAACACGTTTAAAGAACCTTGTGAAAGTAAATAAAATATGTTAAAAAAATTCCTGTAAAAAGAGACCCGGAGTTTATCACTCGATTTATGGACAGTATTTACATAGCCATTTCTATCGAAACCCGACATTACATCGACGGGATACATAAAATTCGTTTTCTTTCTTTATAATAAGGATAAAAAAAAATAAACGTAAATTGTTGGAAAATTACGTTTACGATGCCTGCAACTTCGCGTATAAAGTTTTTGGCCCTTTTGGGGGAAACAATGTGTTTGTTCGTGCGATTCGAAGCAAACGGAGATCGTCCCAGTGGTTTCTCGGGACGACACGGTGCCAGCTTATCCGCGTATTAGTTGTTTTTCACCGAGACCGACTCGTGTCGCAATCTTTCACGGTGGTCCAGATCTCGTGGCTGGATTCCTCGAGGTCGCGCGAAACCGCGCTCGTCCGCGCCGTTCACCAAAATATATGGCAACGCTACGTACATTTCGTACGGAGACAACCTGCACTCGCGTCGATAAGAAGCCGGTACGCGGCCATCGGAGATAAAAATATCGGAAAGAGCAAATCGATTTTGATTCGACTCCCTGATTCGAAGCGGTCGAACCAGTTGGATCTGCAGAGCGAGCCATTTAAAACGGGTCGCCCCCGTGCGACTACTTTGCTTTTACAGATAGGAGAACGCGTTTAACCAGAATTTATTCCATCCCGAGGAAAACATCTCAACGCTGACATGTTCTTTTCTTTTTTATCTTTGCCAAAGGGTCAAGGTCGATCCAAGGTCACGCAATTGTCGCTTACTTTCCAACGTGCGAGGAAAGAAAATATTGTAATCGAGAAAAATAATAATACTTGGAAAAGAACAGGTTTTAACTAGATAAACTTTGTATTTTCATCTCGGGATCGAATTGTATTTTGAGCAAGATCCGCGCAATGCACCGCTGAGGTTGTACTCGTGTTATTCGATTCTTAGAATACGACTGTGCAACAGAGCAAAGTCGCACGATGTCCGATATATCGGGGCGGTTCTATTTCACGCATCGACTCGTATTGGCACCGTATTAGGAAAGTACTAGTTCAGAAAGGCGGTCACACTAATGCCTGAGATCGAAATAAATATCGACGCGAGACGTTAGCTGGTAAAAAAGATAATCGTTCACTTCGATACCATAAATCAAACTTTCAGCTTGCTTGTTGCGAAATATATTGCTTTTGATTTCGAGTGTTGGATTGAAGTTACACAATTTCAGGGTTTAAACCGACAATCGTTCGTGTGTATGCCTGTGGCAGCGTGAACGCAGAAGCTTAAGGCGAAAACGTAGCCGGAGAAATCAGAAACTGTAACGATTTGGAGCGAAAAGTAGGTGAAACGATCGAACAACGACCAGGGAACGAGTCGTACATACTCGTCGAACTTACCCCTGGTATCTCGAGCGGAACCAGAAAAAAAGTTTTCAGGTTCTTCTAAGCTCGTTGCTGCTTCCGAGAACCCGTCAGTTTCATGCTCTTCGCGACTAGTCATAATTGAGAAAACTTTCACCTACTTTGAAATTCGTTCGACGTATCGCATTAGGAATCGATGCTTGCAGCAGTTTGGTCTATGAAATTTTGCAGGAGAACAACCAATGAAAGTAATCGCCGCTCATCGATCGAAAGTAATGCATCTCGTACACCTTTTACTGCCTTTCATAAACTTCGTTTTATTACTGCTAAGCGCCATGCTACGATCTTCGTTGTTCGAACGTTTCATTATCCGCTTAATCGCAGGATACATGCAATATATATTTAAAAACTTGAAAAGAAAAATAATTCTTATTATTTCTGGCGCGCAGCACTGTTCAGAACGGAGCCAACGAATAATTCATAAAGAGAATTTAAATATAAAAATTAAATTTATACGTTTCCAAGATATGCTCTGGTAGCCATAATTTTCTCCCGATTCTATTATTATCCAGGTGCAAATTTTCTCTAATAAATCGTGATCTTGTAACTTATTTCTCGTTCTTTGTAACGAACGTTTTACTTGATCGGTTTATACACACTTGCTGTATACACCGAACTACGCTTTAAATCTGTTTCGTACGGCGTTACATCTGTTTCGAATTAACACATCGAACGCATACCGTATGATTTGCGATTCAAGAAGTTCCCGGGACAATGAAGGCCAAGAAGACCGAGCAATTTTTTCGCCTCTGTCGTCTCGCGTGACCGTCCGAAAACGCGACGAAACGAAAGGCCAAATGTTACGAATATCCTTTCCCACGTCGCACCAGATGCGAGCCTTTTGTGCGGTACGAAAGCTGTGCGTACACGAGGATTCTACACACGGCGCATATCCTATGTGACGCGAATGGTTGTTACTTTAAAGCGACACACACGACTCGCAAATAAAATTCGCGATCCGCTGACAATGTCTTCGCGCGTTACGACAATTTTATTCCGCGTCTTGCGACTTCCTTTACTCGATCCGTGTTCAGAAAGCTTCGTAAAAAGCATCCTTCTGTTAATAATTTCAAATTCGCGGCAACCCGATTAAAATACTGCACGCGGTTACTCGAAATACCGAATCGTCGTTTTTCGTTTTTCACGGGGGTTCTTCACGCTACGCGAACAGAAGTGGGACGCTTCACGGTTGGCGAGCAAACACGCGTAGTAAAACAAACTGGCACCGGCTAGAAAAACAAAAGGAAAAACGATAATCCTCTTCAAAAATTCCACCGTTTCGCACCAGTCAATAAAGAACCTGTTACGCGTTAAAGCATTCTTCGATGCGTTTAATCGATATCGAATCGCTTCGATCCATCGTTCCCCGAGTACGCGCGAAACGATAAGAGTAACGGACTTTGAGCTTTGCATTCCATTAGTTAAACCGTCGTACTATTTTTTTATTATTATGTATCTCCGAACTATCGAGGCAGCTGTTTCAAGGATCTCGGAACGAAACCAATATTTTGTCAGCGGCGCAAGACTCGTAATTATCGGACAACACAATCACGAGGAGGATACGAGTAATTTCCAGCGACATGCGAAGCGAGCTGAAAACACTCTTGGAAATATGCGAATGGTATTCATAGCAGCTGAATGAACCGACGGGAGTATCGAATAGAAACGCAGTTGATCATTATGGCGAAGACGATATTCAGTGAATCCACCGTAAAAGTGGAATTACTGAAATTATCGTCTGCAAAAGGGCAAACAAGAGGCGAAGATATCTATAATATGTGTAAATGATACGCATTGTCGGTAGAAGTATGACTCTGCGGAAAATATAATCGATCATCACGGACGGGGCACCAGCAATGACTGGCAAATGGGTTCGTTGCACTTTGTGACTAAGATGAATCCTGTCCAAAGTGAATATGTCTTACCATTATATTATTCGAGAATCCTAAACCTGCAATATTACGCGTAGAAATCGTTTCGTTAATGCTGCACCAGAAAACTGTATACCAACGATACACGAAAGGCGTGTCTTGACGCGTCCCGGTCACAATGTGTTAGCGATAAAAAGTTTGACCGGCGGATATCGAGTAAATACTCACTCAACGTTTTATTGATCCAATCGGCCAAGTCCTCCTGAAGTGGCAGCAACTGTCTGCTCTGAGCGGAGTGCAGACGCTCGTGATAAAAGTCGGCGTACTCTTCCTCTTCCGGCGACGGTTTCGGTATGTCGACGCGGTTGAACACAGTCACCGACGAGGGTCCCCAGCTGCTGCGATAACGAGTGTGCTGAGATGACGGGAATCGATTGGTGTACGACATTCTGGAGGCAGAAAGGGCTGAAGAGTGTCCCGGTGGCCCGCACCGGCCTCCCTTTCGTCTTCGTTGACGTTTATTCCCTCCACGGACGCCGATGTCCCTCCTCTATTTAGATGCCACAAGGATCTCGCGGCTATTAGACTACTGAAGAGGTACCGGCGACGCTGTGCGATGCAGCGCGTCTGGCGATTACGTGAGCCTGAGAAAGAACAGAAAACGTACATACATGCGTGTTATCTTGCGTATGGAGGAACGACCGTCTCGGTTTTCTATATCGAAAATAATCGTCATGCATCGAGAATACGTCGTACGTGTTACCAATATTCAGACCTGGCGCCAAACAGAAACAATAGGAACGTCAAGCTACCGAACGATCGTAACCACGTTCTTGGTCTTCGTTAGGTTAAAAGCCACGTGGAGGAGCAACGGAAAGAGGGAACGCGTTATAATGCAACCAGGAGCACGGTTTTTATCATTTTTGTTTCGTTCGTGTAGAGCTTCGCAAACGGGCAATCTGATAACTGAACGAGCCTTCTCTTCGAGCGAAAGAGAAGAGATTATTCGTGGGATCAAACTGTACGATGATGCCGGAAGACATGCCATCGTGGCTCGTTCAGAAGCGAGCCGTAACCATAAACGGGATGGAAGATTGAGTGGTTGAAGACCTCCGGAACGCGCTTTGGGTACGGTGAATGACTGGCAGCAAGGAAACGGAGCACGTTTCAAGTGTGTTTTGGGAATGAATGGGTTTTATGTTACGGAGATATGTTTATAGGAGGCTCACCGACAATGTTTCATAACAGCATTGTGCGCGTTTAATCTCGAGAGGGGTGAGACTGCAGCCCAAAGGAAACTGCCCCTTCGCTCGCGAATTGGGTAAAAAAAGCCAGTGGTCGATTAAGAACTACCGAAATCGGTAAAGCTAGCAAACGTGGAGACGTCATTATTAACAATTTCATTCGATATTTATAGAAACTATTCCAAATTTGCAGCCATTAGCTCGGTTTTATCCACAAAGATGAGCTTTTTAAAAATAGTTTCTTTAAAACTATGAAAAAAAACTTCTACGTTTACTGGTTTTACCGATGCCAGTAGTTCAATCGATCTGATTGTTTTACCAACTCGTACGTAAGTAGAGGGGCAGTTATTATCCTGAAAATCGAGACAAAAAAAGCTAAAATTCATTAATAACACCAACTCACTCAAAAATGTTGCAACTCTGGCGTCGCTGGATCAACTCGAGCCACCGTTCTAAATCCGTTCTCCAAGGAGTCGATATAAATTTTCATAGCGCCTATGCAATATCCACAAACGCCTCTATATTTACACGATATTCAAACCAGTGATTAGCATTAATCAATATCCTCTCCGGGGTATCGTAAAATAACTCGCGGAAAAGCGTCACAATTTTACTGAATCCGGCGCGTAGGACTAAGCGATTAATCGGAGGAAGTAGTTAATAACCAAGGGGGGAGAAAAAAAAGCTGAATTTATCGATAAATCCTTCCACGGTACTCTGAGGACACGACTATCGTCTCCGATGACGCAAATCCGCCGACGATCGCTGATGCAAGTGAACGCTTGCAGATCGATGAAATGAAATCCCAGTAATCGTCTCGTGTGACTTCGTCCGACAAACCTACGGATGTCCTTCGACATCGATCTATTAACGTATCGTCACTGACTCTGGCCGCCGTAATGCAATCCGTCGTAAACAGGTGACGATCCAAGCACGCGTGTCCAGGCAACAATATTCATCTATTTTTCCCTATTTAGAAACGTTTAGAACAGTGGTCGCCAACCACGAAGGACAGAGAACAGCGTTACTCAATTCTCTCGCGAGCGAGAGTTACATTTTTCAGTCGAACGACCACGCGATTACCGATTGTTTCGAAGAATCGCTGACAAAGTTATTCGGACCAGATTTCGGGTCAAGTAAACTCGAGCTACCAAATTCGTCGCTGCGGGCGACAGATTCAGCGTCCCGACGCGAATAATAACGATGGCGATTTTTCTGGGGGGGCGATGGAGGAGTAAGATCCGACCGCGAATGTCACGAAACTCGATAGTCGGTCGATTCTCCGTGGAAGATAGGATTCTCGGAGCGGTCGCGGGCGTCTATTTCTCATGGTTAATGCGGTCGTGTGGGCGCTAGATATCACCTCGAGCACCGCGATGAAGTTCTTCGTAAATCAGCCGACCACGGTGATCGATTATGACAACGACAGCCCGCCAATTAATGGCGTTTTCGCGTTATCGTGACAAATGGAGCAGAGAGCTTGTCGGGCCCAAGGTAAAAGCGCCGATGCAACGAACAAACGAAGATAACGAGTTCGCGACAGGCGTTGTTTGCTTTGGCACAGGTATCTCTTAATTACATGGTCTTGTAGTATCACGCTAGACAGCTAGGTTTAGAGAGATTTATTTCTATCGTCCGTTGATATTGGGCGTACAATCCCTCTATCTCTGCACGTGGTTATTACGCCTTTGATCGGGAGTTGCATTGACTGGGACACCACGTGCAATGTTGCACTTGCATTTTATTGCAACTTTGTAGGTAGACAGTGCACTGAAAAATATACGACCCGTATTCAGCCAACGGCTCTAAGAATAATTTTGACATTTACAGACCGAAAGGTCTACTACACCTACCGGTCCAAATAATCTTTCTTACTTTGTTTTGGATTTCAGATTTCATTCATAAATGCTTATCAGGCCATCATCTCCCCTTGCGCGAGAAACAATTACGAAACTATGATGTTAGAATGATTGATTGAGTAAACTTGCACGAAGACTGTTATACTCGAGAGAAACTGTCCTACATATTTGCAGTATAAATGACGTATAGCTATTTTATTGGGATAACAAGCCATATTATTGTTATATATGGCCACGCTCAAGTAAAAGTTGCAGAACTCCTGTTAGGTGCAATAACGTACAGGCACTTTGACGTTAATGTTTAACGTTTCCAGATATGAAAAATAACATGGCCCGTCGACTAGACCGCATTTCCTTGCAAATGCTGAAAATAACATTACGAAACCTGTTTCTTATCTTTTCTTGAAATATTATTACGTAACATATAGGTTAAGAGTTCGTTCACTCGTGTGTTCATTCTTCGACCACCGCAGGAAAACAATTTAATTTCTTGGAGAACCATCTATCCTTTTATCTGCCGCGTTCCACTTACTAAGTTTCACGGCGCCCACGCTCCATCCAGAATTAATTTCAACGATTTGCAGGCCTAGCAGAAAATTATAAAATTATATATTTGTGAAATTGTTGCGCAGAAACGACTGCACATGTATCGTCCCGATCCTCGAGCACGCCGTTGACGTTAATCAATTTTACACGGAATGTCATTCTCGCCCACAGATTGACACAACCTATCTGATTTAGATACGAATACGGTCGCGCGTGAATTTATTCGAATTAATAATCGCTTGTATAAATTGTTTTAATTTATAATTCAAACGCGAAGGATGAAAAGTTACACTACGAGCTTATTTACCAGACTGCAAGGTTTGGTCTTCGTTTATTATACTCTCGAAACTTTCCATCGATGTATAGTTAAATTTATCGGATAAAAGATACGAGGTATTTATCTCGTACCTCGATCGCTGGATCGGAACTCCGATTTACTTTTAAAAAAATTGTTAATTGACTGTCCAACATGATCGCTACAAGCATGCCCCGCCTTTAAGAGCGAGGATATAAAGAAAGTGAGAAAACATTTCATGAAAGCTACATAAGAATCTTATTAATAGTACGTGTAGGCGGAGTGATGCACCGACAGATAAGGAAAAAAGATTATATAAAATGCTAATACCTAAACGTTTACGACTCTTTAATAAATTCCATGTACACGCACTCCACGACCAACAGATTCCATTTCCAAAAACGGAGGTGTCCTCGAAGACCGCCTTTTAAAAATAAATTGGAAATGTAAACGAATTAGAAAATTTCACCTTACGTCTTCGATCTGTTCGTAATCGAGGCCGTGAATTATTCCTCACCCTGTGTAATCGAAGCCAGCGATTATGTTAATCCGATCCAAAGTCGCTGTGCCACTGTGTATGTGCGACCTCCAAGTTTAACAAGATAAACGCGCTTTTCAGCGAGCAAAAGACAGCTCGAGGCAAACATTCGACGTCAAACACTTTTGCAAATGATCCGCCCACGTGCTAGATAAATTATGCCGATTTCAATCGAGCACGTATCGTAAATGACGCCACGCTTAAACGCCGCGGATTAGACGGCCGCCGGGCTACGTCCAGAGATGGGCAAACTTTAATTCGAATGATTGATAACCCATGAAACCAACATTTAGCAATTTTTTTTACCCATTCACGATACAGCATCGGTTATTAAATTTTAATGCTCGGGGGAGGGGTATTCATTTTCCGAGTCTTTTTCAAGTCTTCCGGAATTCCAACATGTCAACCCCCACCCTCACTCGAGGGGTCACGCCTCTCACAATTGAAAACGTTGGTCTAGGCGTTCAAGGTACAGATGTAAATAATGGATTAGGAAGGAAGATTGCTTTAATTAAGGCGCAACCCCATTTGTTCCCACAGCACATGGGAAAGTGGAAAAATCTTTGTCAGAGTTCCCTCGTTAGCATTTTATAATTTTGCTGGTCGCATAACTCGGAGGCGCTTGGAACGCCGTGACATAACCATATTAAATATAAATCAATCTTTTCTCTCGAAAAACAATTCTCTTTACGATAATAAAAACAATCGTAACACAGGAAAACAGAAACGATTGTAGTGTACAAAAGAAATTCTTCAAAGCACTTTTAAGGACACTCGGAATACTGCACGTTTTACAATATAAAATTGTTAGAAAAGAGAGATCGTGCCGTAGCACGAGAAGTACTCTCTGCGTTTCCATGAAAATACAACAAAGCCTCAAAGAACGGTTATAATTTTAACACTGTCGCGTGCATATACCTATGACCCGAGACCGTTGTTTAATTCAAAGATTTTTCAACGCGTAATTGCATCTCGGTTACAGGCTGGAAAAATGAAATTATCTCTCGCAATGTTTCGAAAGTGAAATGCTCACAGTCGCTTCCAGACAGATCTTATCATCTATCATAATAACCTAATATGTGCATTGCGAAAATTCTATCCATACAAATCGTTTACAACACTGTATCGTAACACTCGATAATAGGAAGCCGGCGATTACAAC